CGGCCAGCGCCCCGCAGCGCAGCGAGCCGGAGGTGCGCCGACGGGGGAGCGTCCCCAGGAGGTGCCGCTAAACTGGTCTTGCGTAAAGAAAGAGTTAAAGAGATTCAGCAAGTGCAACCAGGCAGTAACCCACCAGCCGAAGCCTGGGTGAAGTCCGATATGTTGCTTATCTCGTCTCCGTAGGTAGAGAGACGACAGCGAGGGCAGAGCCCGGGCTGCTGTGCCCAGAAGAAAGCCCCCTGTAATGTTTTACGGGCTGGTTTTACAGCGACTGAGCAGTTGCCAGCGGAGTTTGGCCTCCGCAGGTCTGCGGAAAGGTGACCCTCTTCTCCTGGGTTTATAAAGTGTGTTGTGCTGCCTCCCGGGATATAGGGGTTTTAACTGGTTGTCCCGTTGTTTAATTATTCAAATGAAACCTCTTGCTGAGAGGGAAGACAGCGCGCAGAACGACCTCTCGCGAGTTATTCTGTCGGCCGGCTTTCGCCTCGGCACGTCTGTTTACGGCGTTTGGAGAATTGCAGGTGACCAAGCGCCTCTGAAACTGAGCAAAGGGTTTTTTCCATGTGTAATAGCGGTAACTAGGACGAAGCATTTCCTCAGGCCACCAAATAGGTCACAAGGGATTAAGGTACGAATAATTGCTCTTTAATTCTGTAATGCCTTCTTTAATTAAACTTTGTGGCTCAGCTGCTGGTATTGCTTTTGGCCTCTTCTCCCGTTTTGATGTGCGTAATAAGGAAGGAACCTGTGATCCGAAGGGGCCGGACTGTTATCTTCTAGGACGCTGGTAAGTCTTCCTCTTTCTGCTACGTGCCGCTTGAGAGCTTGGAGTAGTTGGGATCATTAGGGCAACCGTAAAGGTTAGCTGTTGTGTATGTTGTGTGTCGGTAGAGGTGGGGAGAGACAGATCGTCTCAGCTAAAATCCGACTGCCTTTACCTATGTTCAGCAGTGTCTTCCGAAAGGTCGTGCGCTGGAAATCGGTGGATCTGTAAGTGAGGAAGTGCCTCACAAAAGGGTCGTGGAACATGCCTGTGTGGACGTATGTAACGTCAGTGTCGGTCCTTACAGGCCGAGGTGCGTTCATGCGCCCAGCCACTACTCTGATAGTCTTATCTATTTAAAAAAAAAAAAAAAAAAAAAAAGTTGAGCATTAGTATTTTAATAGGAAAAGTAAGAATAAAAACTTCTTTGAAACTAACAATCTTTAAAAAGACCTCATGAGAATTAAAAAGCGTAGTCCCTAGCGCAGACATGTAGCTATCGTTGGAGATTACACTGGTCTGATTTTAATATTGCAGATCAGACAAGACAAAGGATCTCAATATTTCCACTAAATCTGCACGTAGTAGCCAGGCCTGGAAAAGAATAATACTGATGAAATCAGCTGGTTATGAAAGCCCTTTAACTGGATATGCCTTTTCTCCCTACTTTAGTTTTATTACTTTATCTTTGAATGTTTCTATTTGTGTTAGACATACTGTCCTGGACTCTCAGCTACTTTGTTCAGTCTTTCTCTGACTGTTTTACCTTTGTGCCTTTTCATATACTGCTTAATGAAATCTAAGGGTAAAATGAAAATGGAGCGGAGCCAGGGATTTGATTCTGCGTTCTCTCTCTCTTTTTTTTTTTTTTAAAAAAAAAAAAAAAAGGCCCAAGGGACATGGGCGATGAAGACAGAAGAGGCAGCGATGTGGCCATGCATGGGTACTCTCAGGACGTGTGTGGTGCGTTAGCTGGCTCCTGAAGGAGTCTGAAAAAGAGTGTTCAGAAAGTCCCCGCAAATGGGGGAGTTTGACTTTTTCCTTCTTTCTTTCTTTTATTTGTTTTTAAGTCATTGCACGCAATCAGAGGAACTTCTGTCGCAGAAGGTGTCTCCCAAAGGGACCTTGCTGAGCCCCCTTCCAGGTGGCGCCATGTTACAAACGGTGCAGTGCCCGCCGGGGGTCCCTTGCGGCATGGCTGGGGTGCCCCCCTGGCCTCGCTGGGTGGCAGTAGCCCTCCTGCTTAAGGAGTGTCACTGTTTCTGAGGCTAATATAGGGAAACTACTTTAAAAAAATCATCATTTTTTTTATTTTTAAGCACCAGCATGATGCCATCCTGGAAACTTATGGAGCAGTTTCAGGGGAGGGCAAATGTCCCTGATTCACCCCACCTGAAAAGATTTAAGATTTGGCACTAATTCAGGCAATGCATTGTGGGTTTTTTGGGGTACCCTAGAATGCCTGTTTTATGAGGGCTAGACTCGAGCTATTTGGGATAGGACGTTTGCACCGATTGCTCTTTGTTCTCGGGGATAATCTTCTCAAGAACCAGAAGGGCTTAATCCTCCCAGTCATACTCGGGGCAAAACTGCCATGCAAGTAAGAGACCCTGAGAGCGGGATGTTTTTCGCAGTGCATTGATGTTGAGCTCTATGGGAGTTTTTCCTGATACTCTGTGTATATTGGATCCAAAATATTTATGGTGTCTGGGCAAGGAAGATAGCTTTCATGTAACAGCCTCTGGGCTAACAATAATTGTTCTTTCTTTTGTAACCAGAAATTCATACACTCTTCAGCTGAGTTGTCTGAAAAAGCACTTTGTCTTTCTCATGCTGTAAGACCAAATAAATAGATTAGGTGTGTGTACTAGTTCAAACAGCTTGAGTGGAATTGAAAATGTAGAACGGCGAGAAGTGAACAAGGTGGGCGTTTTTAGCTGGAGCCTGAGAAACAGCGATTTCTGTTCTGGCCTTATGTTCTCAGTCACATCCAAATTACTCATGTTGAGAAGAATATTTTAAATCGTTGTCTTTACCAGTAATGAATTTTGGATTATTTAAGTGGTAGAAGCAGTACTTGCATTTCAGCAGCAGAAGCAGTTTCGGGAAGGCTGGGCAGCGTCTGCCCTCTTTAGGTGGTTTCCCTTGCAGACACACGGAGGAAGGCAGGCTGGTCGCATGCACCGTTTTCCGAATACGGTTTATACTCGCAAGTGAAGTGCAATGATAGGACAAAATCCATTAGGAATTTCTGATTTCTCTTCCAACTGCTGACTGCTAGAGCTGCCAGGCTGCTGCAGGGAGGGCACGTGCTGTACGCCATCCGTTTCTCACCGACTGTCCTGGAGCACCGGGTGTCTGCTGAAGAGACCGTCCGGGGCAAGCCAAGTCTCTGGTCTAGCACAGCACGGCCGTTTTGTGCTCTGTGCTGTGTTGCCGCCTCCTCGCTCACGCCCTGTGGCCCCTGGAGGCTGAGTGTGTGCGTCCATGGGTGGCCACGGTCCGTGGTAGGAAGCCTCCTGAGATAAGGAGGGGCACGGATGAAATCTCCGGAGAAGGGAGCGATGCAGCCAGTGTATTTCAGTTCTTGGTGTCACATATGCTGGGATCCGCTTGCTTTAGTAACTGGAAGAGTCAAGTCAAACGATAGCTCTTAGCTATTCTTGCAGGGCTTCTCTGTGCCACACACGTCTCAGATTCTCGTGAATATTAGCCCTTGTCTGGGCTGTCCTAGGATTATGCTAGGTGGGCTTAAGACAGGCAAGTAAGTTGTAAATGAGCAGAGAAGTTTAAATGTACTGAGATACGCTAACATGAACGTGCACAGTGTTTGTCAGAGTGCAGGACAAACAGTGCACAGGACGTCGAGTATTTGATTATGTATGAGAATTAATTTCTTTACTAATGCTCCCCATTCCTTTGTAATTACTTCCATAACCACTTCAGCAGTGAGGTTTAAGTGATGTATCTACAGAGAAAAGGTCTCATGCATGTGTATCTGTGGAGTGAGAATTCATAATTAACAACATGCAAATATTTGTCACACAGGTGCGGTGCATTTGCTCACCATGTGAGGGGAAGGGCCGGGGCTGGACTGCTTGGGACTAGGCAGTAGTGCTCGAGCTTTTTCAAATACTTGCAAACTGGTGGAGGAGTTGAAGGAAAAAAAAAAATCCGCCCAACAACCGGAATAGTTGATGTGTTCAGAAAGATTTCTAGCAGTCCTTAAATATACTTGGGTCAGGGAAAGGTGCTAAATGTATAACTGAACTTTTGATAAATCTTTACTTGGTTGAGGATATTTACAGCATGTAACATCTAACTCTCTCTGACTTGTTCCTCGCTTTTTTGAAGTTGACCAACTCAGTTCTGCTTCACGGAAAAAAGTTTTTCCGTATAGGAAAATATCACTAATTGATCACATTTTTTTTGTTTTGTTTTTTGTCGACTAAAGTAACTTTTTCGCTTTCGTTTTTCTCTTTTGAGCCTCAGCACCCCAGTCGGACGAAGGCTCCGACATTGACTCTGAACCAGACCTGCCCTTAAAGAGGAAGCAGCGCCGCAGCAGGACCACCTTCACGGCGGAGCAGCTGGAGGAGCTGGAGCGGGCTTTTGAGCGGACGCACTACCCGGACATTTACACCCGGGAGGAACTCGCGCAGAGAGCCAAACTCACGGAGGCGCGAGTCCAGGTGCGTGTTGAAAGCTGCCCGGCGAAGGGAGTTTCCTTTCCCGTAACTATGTCAGTCCTTTTTTCCCCCTCTCACACGATGGTTCTCTGGTGTAGAAGAAGCTACGTTGTCTACAACCTCTGGGGTTTCTACGTCTGTGTATGGACAGTGGTTTCCAACTTCTTAAAACAGCTGCTTTGAAAACAGTTTTGTGTTTTCCTCAGTAATCGTTCCCTAGCTGCCATAAACGTAGTACTGAGAGTTTAGAGAAAAAGGTCTACTGTCCCAGTTTGTTTGTTTTTGTGCAGTTGACAGCACTCTGCGTATAATCAGTTAAGCTGTTGTGCCAGTTTATGGTTATTTAACTGGTTTCATCTGTTGTTGTTTGGGTCTTTTAGATGTTAGCAGAGGAGAGAAAAACATTTTAAAAAGGACAATGTATCTATAGAGCCATGCAAGATAGCAGGGTAACTGGTGCAGTATCCACAGTTTACTTTCAGTTTAACCTTTTGAAGCTAACTAGATTTAAATTTCATAATATCTTTTTTTATCCCCACTGTCAATTTAATTCAAAACAAAATAATCTCCCCCAAAGTATTAGGTTTTCTCAACTTCAAGTAGACCTGAATTCTCTGAAACAAGTTAAACTGCTGGATGAGTAAATCATGGAGTTGTTTTTTCTTTTTCTTTTTTTTAAAGACATCAGTCTGGACTGTCAGATTTCCAAAAAATGGGCAAGTACTGGCCGACAATTCTAGAACAAACTGCACCCAGGAGCTCAGGTTCAGACTAAGACTTGCTCTGTTTCTCAGCCCTGACGCATGACCTGTGCGATAGTTAGCACCGCGGCGGAGTCCGTGCAGGCTCTGCTGCTTGGCTGCTCTGTCGCTAATTGCTGTCCAAGAGCCATTTGGGGGGGGGACGACAAAAAACCAAAACCACGCCCAGTTTAAAACAGTCTGTGTTGCAAGTGTCCGTAAGTAAGTGTGGTTAGGTGACATGCAAAACGAGCAGTAGCTTGTGATCTAACCAGGGATACAGGTGTACTTGGTGGCTTTGGTGAAACTCCGTTTTGATGTTTGGAACCCTTTGGAGCTCAGCCTGAGGCATCCAGATGCTGCACACTGGAACAAGCAATCCCAGATATCACTCTGACCTTTTAAGGCAAGCACGTGTATTGCAGCATGGCTGTGCTATTGGATATCTGTCCTGATGGATCCAGACTTTCCTGCTCACTCCTGCTTTCACCTGCTAAATGTTTTTGCAGACTTCACACCACGCTTCTTGCAAGTGTTCTGTTATGACTGGGAAAGAAAATCAAATGTATGGATTGATTGGTCTGGCAGGCAAACTCAGGAGAACATAAACGTGTTCTTGATACATTTACTAAGAGAAATGCTTACAAAACAGCTTCGTATATAGACTTGGGCCAGGTAGGACCAAATCAAGCCCTGGGAATCAGCTTTGCACAAGCGAAATAAAGATAACTTTCTACGAAAGATCCGTTAGCAAGGCGAACGGGACCTAGGATATATGTTTTTAGGCTACTTTAGCTTCAGTGGAAAGATACGACAGAATGAAAAAGTCCTTGTTCGTGTTTTTCTAAATCAATGACCCACAGCTAGAAGAAAAGCAGAGCTCTCATTAACATAACAGCTGTCTTAATGTGGCTTTAACCCTGTGACTTTTTACATTCCTTATGGCTTCCCCGGTTCCCTTGAGACACATCTTGTCTCACACCACTTCTATGATCTACAGCCTCGCAAATTCCCCAGTACCTCTGACATATGGATATTTTACCAAACCCAGCATGCAAGAAAGTTCCCAGTCAATCAATGATTAAAATACCAGAGCAAAACCTTTCTGGATTAAAGATGAGCTGGGGTTGAAATGGGAAGCCAGCCTGTGGGTACTTTCCTCGTGTACTCCATCTGTCTGGTACCCTTGAAGCCTGGCAAAGTGATTTAGCAGCGGATTAAGGGATACAGGATTTGCCTTATCAGCATTCAGCACCTCTCTATAGCCCCTTAAAATAGCCACCTATGATGGGCATGAAATAAAAGACGATTTGTGGAAAGAAAATAACCCTGAGAGACTTGAGGCGGAAGGGGCTGGCTCACCATACTGATGTAGCATTTGAGCTTTTTAGTCATCATCCTTTTTTAGTAACAGTATGACAGAGATCAGAGATACCAAATTTTATGTGAAAACGTACACAAAGCTCTCTTTGCCTTGCTGCCCGGGTCTGCGCGAGTCTTGAAATTCTCCTCTTCAGAGCTTTTTCTAACGGGGCTAGCTGCAAGGACCAATTTCTTAGAGTTGTTACATTGTACTGGGAAGTTGTTTATTTGATTTAGAGCCTGATCAGCCTTGCTGTTCTCGCTCCCCAATGTATAGTGCTCACGTCTCAAGTTCTGTTTTTCCTACTCCACCACCCCCATGTTTCCCCTTCTCTTCCGTTCCCCAGGGCGATCCCCACTCCCCCGTGAAAGGGAGATTCTTAAACCTCCAAAACATTTATTTTCTCACTTTCCCACTGTTGAAGAGCGACCAAACGCATATTTCTAAGCTGGTTGGTTGGTCGGGGTGGGGGGAAATGCCACCTCTGGGCTGAGATCAAACTTGGAACGTTTCGGCCCCAAAGGGGAATTTTTTGGAAACTACAAGCATCCGAAAACAGACGCTACACTGTGAATGCTAATCGCAGGGACAGGAAAGGCTTTTGGGGAAGAAATGTTTTTGAAACAAACTCCATGTGGTAATTATAGGTATACATCATGTGATTCTTGCAACAAGTACTTAAGCACTGGGTATCATAAGGAGCTCTAAGGCTCCCTGCAATTCCTCCTGTAGCGCTTTTGTGCTTAAGGGCTGTACGAGTTGCTCTCTCCCCCATTTTTTAGTCTGGATGGCCTTTGGAGACAGTAAGGCAATCTCCTCTGCTACCTCTTCCAGGGTGCCCTGGCTCTTTGAGCCTCCCAGCAGCGAAGGAAGGGGAAAGGTCTTCCGTGTTGGGCATTTGTCAGACGCAATTTGAAAACTTAAGTAGCGTCCCCAAGATCTAGGATGACCCTAAAAAAGAAAAATGTCAAGCCCTGCAAATGTGATGTTAAGGTTTTGAATAGTGTGTGCAAAAATCAGAAAAAAGCAGTGCCTCACTGGTCCAGTTTAAAAACTCATTAAAAGCTTCATTAAGTTGCAACGTAGGCCCTTAAGGTCTCTGGCCTGTTTTTACCGAATCACTCCGAAGGCTAATTCCAGAAGTGAAATTTTCCCCGCTGTAGATAAAGATCAAAGGCTTTTTCTGAGCTTCAGAGATGTGTGGTTATGGTTTCTATAACAAAAAGCACATAAGGAATGATGTGGGCAGCATCTTTCCTGGCCACCTTATGATTCCTATGTCAGATTTATTTTTAGACCTGGATGAACTGGGCAAACTTTGGCAGCGGGTCAGGAGCATGGTTCAGATTGATGGTGGGAAGCGTTTAATTCAATCTTTTGGTGAAGGATTTTTAAATAATGAGCTGGAGGTGTATGCAGGTTCTACACTTTGCTTACTGCAAGGATGAGCCAGAGGGGCAGCCGTTGGCTGCTGGCCTGCACACAGCAAGGGGAGATGGGTTCAGGTTTGCTCTGTGGCCGGTGGAGGGCTGGGAGTCTGCCTCAGCTGAGGGGTTGGCTGTGCAGACCCATCTCTGTGGTCTGCATGTTGAAGGGACTGTTTTAAAAAGTCTGTGAATGATGGTAAACAAGCGGGGGAAAGTCGAAAAGAGCTCGAAAACATGAGTACGTCCCGTTCTGAAAAGGCTCTTCTCGGCCAAATCCCGTGTTTACGTTGTTTTGCTTGAAAACTTCCAAAGGAAAAATATTGTTGAATAGAAGAACGTGCCTGAAAATTCAGGCGGATCTCTCTTGAGGCTGCTAGGGTGGGGTTGAACGTTGCCATGTCAAACTTGCAGTAAGTTTGTAAGCTTTTGGCAAAAGACTTGCTACAGCCTCAGTTATTGCATGTAGGTCGATTAAGTCAATAATCAGTTTAGCTACAAATAGAAGTCCTGTAGGCTCGGAAATCTGGAGTAGTTGGTGCAAATACTCCAAAAAAATCTTTTCATGTGTGCTGGACTTGCTTTTTTTTGCTTTCTTGTTTTTTGTTTGTTTGTTTCACGCTAGTATATGGAGAGGAAGGGATGGTCTGGAATAGAAAGAGGGAAAAGGTGAGAGAAGAAATGACAGCTCTTCTTAGCTGCTGGGAAGGGTGGAAAACTCTTAAGTCCAATCTCCATTTTAACAGTCTCTTCTCAGTAGCAAACAGAGCCCAGTGGTAAGCGTTTGCTGGGAAATCATGGGGGAAGGAGGACCTAGGCCAAAAAAGTCTTTATTTGTGCTCAGCTCTTCTGAAATAGTGTGAGCTTAGGCCAGGTGGGAGAGGGGGTGAAGGAATGTGGGACATTCAGAAACACTGAAGACTTTTCAGCAGATCCTTATAGTCATTCCTGATGTGGTTTATGGCAAATGTATGGTGCCTCTTTTTTGAGGCCATCCCTCTTGCATCATGTATAGGATTAAGAAAGCACACAGCATTTTCTTTCTTTTAGTAGATAACCCTGTAATTGCAGAGGTTTTTTTTTTTTTTTTCTTTTCCTTTCCTCTGGAATGAAGGAGGAATTCATATGGGTAAATTAGCCAACTACAAACATATGCAGGCTCAAGAAGATGCTTTAAACCTAAGGAGAAGGAAAGTGTGTTCTTTGGAGTCTCTCTTTCTGGTCCCCGCTACCTAAGCGCTCACATGAGGGACACTTTCATTTATAAGCACATACTTCAGCGTATTACTCAGTTTTGCCAGAGTATTCAGCTGCAATGTTTTAGAAGTGATTGTGCACGACTGATTCAAAGTCTTTTCAAAGAAAACTGTGGGAATGGAGAACGCTGAATTGCGTTGGGAGTTGGTTGGCAGACCTCGTTCCCTCTGGTGCAGCCTGGCTGGTTTGTTTTTTGTGTTTAACGTTCTTGGTTTCCATCGCGTTGAGAACTGTGAATCACAACAAACGTGATTCGCCGTCTCCTTAAGGCGTACTGCTCCTGGCAGACTCCCGACAGGGCTCCGCGCCTGCGGGGCGGTTCCCAGGGCTGCTTGGGGTCGAGGCCGTGGCACAGCTGGGCGATGCTGGCAGAAACGGGCCTGCCTGGGGCTCGTCCCCTCTGCACACGCCTGGCAAACCTTGCTCCTGGGGCACCTTCAAAGTCCTCTGCTGCCACGTCCGCTGAGGGCTGCTTCCAGGGGGTCAGGCATAATTTTGGACGTGCAAATTTGCGGGTTTGGTGGGGGCGAGGACAAGGAGTTGAGGGCGTAGGGGACAGTTACAATGAAAAATACCACGAGGCAACAGAGGGAAAAAATCTTTGGCTAGAACGAAAAATGTCATTACCAATACATCAGCCCTTTGACTTGGTATGTTTTTGGCCCTCGTGCTTGCAATGGTGAGGACTGTTTTTAACACAAAATATCCTCTGGTTTCCTGCAAAATTCACATCTCAGATGTTTCACCCTGTTGGTTCAGAGATCTTTTTCCCTTAAAAGCACATAGAATGCGCTGTGTTTATGATCAGGCTGTTGAAATGTCAAGGCTAATTAGACCACTGTGTTCCCAAGTGAATAAATACATCTTTTAAAGAGTATCCCATTGCGATCAGCAAAATAAGATGTTGGCATGATCAGCTGCAAACCACTTAAAGGAAAAATGATAATAAAAAGAAAGATCTAAATATTAGAAAAGAGATGGAAGAAACCTGCGAGGTCATCTAATTCATTCTCTCACAACGCAAAATAACTTTTTATGTTGTATTGCTGAGTGATTTCTGGTCAGCCTGGGTCTAGATGTTTAGAAAACTGGAGTCTCCAATACTTTCCTTAAAAGTCTTGTTGCCTTCTGCTCTCAATTTCATTCTTTTCAGCTGTTTTTGAGCCCTTCAGAGATGTAAATTTTGGCCAGGCAGTGGTTAATTTTTTTTGTTTTGTTTTCAAATCAGCTCAGTAATTTGCATTCAGTCTTTCGAAAACGACATAGAAACTAGGGAGCCAAAGTCCTGCTAAAATAAACGTGCTTTGGCTTCTAGTGCACGCATCACTTTTACACGTGTGGGCCACTTGAACAAGCTCTATTTACTCCATCCATGTACGTGTTTGCATAGCACCAAGCACAGTGCTGACTTGCTTTAGAGTTTATGAATGTTACAGTAATACAAGTAGATCATACTTCTTCTGATGCAGCACTGTTTGTGTGAGTGTTGTATTTTGAGTCTCTTAAAGTGCAGGAGCTTATTTACTCATTGCTTTTCCTTCCACAAGGAATTCAGCATGGTAGTAATTATTTCAAATGCTATCCAGGGTAGGTCTGCCCTCCACTGAGAGCCACGCTGTTGCTGGTGAAGGCAGCACGCAGAATAAACCTAGTGAAGCGGGACGTGCCTAGTTTAGGGTTAGTCTTGTCTTACTCCAGCTACAGGGTGGCAGGTTTTAGTCTCGCGGTATGACATTTGTGATTTTTTCGCAATGGTTATGTTATACTCTGAGCATCTGTACCTTTAGGCGACGATTAGCTCGCTCTCGGAAAGGAAATATACTATGGGGAAGCTGCAGTATTGGAAAAGGCCATTCATAACGTGAGGGTTCTGTCGTTCTGATGGAAGCTGAAATTTAAAAGCCGTTTAATCCTTAACTGAATATAATACATAATATACAATGTTTAAACTGTACTGGAAGTGAATAAACAAAAGGAAACATTTCCTGATGTGTTTACAAGGGGTTTCTGAGCACACATATTAATCTGTGGTGATTAGAGTTATTTTTATGTCTTGGCTTGATATTGGCAAAATTATTCAAAATTTCTTAATTAGTGGTAATAATGCACTTGGGCTCTTTGTGATACTTTTTTTTTTAATTATGTATTTTTTCCTGAGTTACTCAGAATCTAAGTTGAGGTAGCTGAACCTAGCCTAAGAGAAAAAACTATGATTTTTTTTTAAATTATTTCAGTTAATTTCAGAAAACATATAAAGGATGTGAACTTTAAATAAAATGTGTAGTTTTGAATTGGCTTTTCTTGACTTTGCAGAATCTATTTGCAACTTTTTAACTGTCTCGTTTTATGTTATTCATTTTTCTCAATCACACAATGCCCGCAGAGCTCGGTGGTTACCTGGCAAAAAATGGGAGCTGAAAGCCGTTACAAGCCAAGTCTCTAGCTTTTATGGATCTAGACTGGATCCATCTTGTTTTAAGTACAGGTCGCTGTGTGAGAAGGGCAAGGCTGCGATAGGTAATAAAAATTGTGGTGTTAAAATATCCAGAATTGGAGATTAAGAACTTCAGCGTGTTTATTTGGAAGAACGTGTGATGGTGGGAGGTGGGGCCACTGCTATGGTCATGTTTATGATAAATCCTTTTAATATTTTTTGTCAAGACAGATCCAAAGCCCATTAAAATTGGCAGAAAAAACATGAAATGCGGGAATCAGGCCCCTGGAGGGACAGAAAAGCAGCAGCAAGGCTGGGGTGCAAGTGTGCATTTAATTCAATGGGGCCTCGTGTGGCTGCAGAGCTCTGCGTAAACCCATCCCTTTGTGGGTCTGTGCTGTGCTGTGAAATCTCTGCTGCCCTGAGTATGTCTCTTTTGGTGATATTTCATGCGTATCTGTAGTTCTGGAAAAATATTAATCTATGAAATGAGTCATGTGTAAGCAATATGTATTATCTGTAAATATGCTAAGGATAAAATCTGGCATTAATGCAAATCAGTCAGTGCTACTGAGTGAAGTTTGGGATCTGACTCATTTTAACAGAAATCCAGGTGTAGAAGAGAAATGCTGATCTGTAGAAGAAACAATGTCTCATTACCTCGTTTTCCTCTGTGAAATCCACTCACTAAGACAGTGGTAAATGGCGTAGTTCAGGTAGTGTTCCCGAGGCATTTTAAGATCACCAGATAACCCCGTTGACCTGAAGAAGGGAGACCGTCATGGAGAAGCAACAATTCGTGCCCTGGGTAGGCTAATTACAACATGCGAACTCTGTTCTCTGCTCCCTTGCTGACCTCCATTATCCTTCCTAAACCCTAAATGCTTCTGTAACAAGCTGTTTCTCCCCTTCTGAGAATCTCGCCCCTTTCTCTTTGGTCTTCTTCAAAAGATACCACTGCCAGAGTGCGAGCCTGTGGTGGGTGCTGGTGGCTGAGCAGGTGGAAGGGATCTGTGGGGAGTAGATGAGAAATCCAGAAGCTGAAGTGTCGGTGAAGGAAGCAAAGGGCAAGGGGAGAGGTGAACAGGATATAGATGTCCAGAGGATGAGACAGTGGAAAAAATAATTGCTGAATCTAGACCTGTCCGTCCTCGGCTGTTGCTCATCATAAGTCTCGCATCTCACGCAAGTGATGACACAGGTCATCACAGCAAGCAGTAGGAGAAGCTGAGAGCATAGTCCGAAATGCAGTCCCACCTCTTATGTAAGCCCTGTATGGGCTGTAGTGCTATTCCTTCCCCTTTCTTGTTGCAAGAGCTGCTGCACTAGAAATCCCATCTCTGTTGGTTGGCTACTAATTTGAAAGCCAGTGTGGGCTGTATGCTGCAAGGGTGGCAGATCTAAGACCTAACCCTTGCCTTCACAAGGGTCTACACGTGGTTTGGTAGCCTATGTGGCTTTCAGGCTAGCCTGCCAAGGCTCTGCAGATGTACCTTGTACGATGCTAACAGTAAGATAAGGTCTTATCTAACTCATGGTATCTGCAGATGGTTGTTGCAGTTGCTTCGGGGAGCACAGCTATGGGTAATAATCCATCAGCTTGCCCACAAAACATGTGGGCACCCTCAAACAACCTATCTGCATTGTGGAAAAAGTCTGAGCACCATAACCTAGAAGCCGCCCTAAATCAGGGGCGGGGCAGTGCCGATGCACACCAGGTCCGAGCACCTAGCTGAGGCTGGCAGCCCTTCAGATTCACTGCATTAGCAACTGTGTAAACCTGCATGGATGGCAACTCAGAGTGTGTATGTGTGTTATTTGTGAAGCCTTGCCGCATCCTTCCTTGAAGGCAATAAGAGCCACCCAGGACATGGAAAACTTGAAACATGAACTGAGGCTGGTGTGAAGGAATCATTTGTTGGTGGGAAGTTTAGAGCTAAGCTGCCCGCTGCTCCAAAACCTAACTCCTTGGGACCCTGTCCTGAGAGCAGATTTCAAAATAGTTCTGTGCTGAAATTTTGGTCTACTCTTAAGTTCAAGAGATGCTTTGCACATATGTGAATACATGAAAACTTGCTGAAGGACTACTTTTTTGTACAAGGGGCTTGCACCTTTCAAAGTCAAAGTTGACTGTTCTGTTGATAACTTGGGCAATATAATGTCCTAAATACAAGTACCTTCCAACAGTGCATATTAATGGATCCCACTAACTTGGTGACAAGTTAAACATGAGGACAATACAACGCAGACCAAATAGCTTTGGCTAGCACGTAGATCAAATGGAGAGATGTTTTCCTTTTCTCATTAAATTTCGCACAGTAAGGGTAGGGGCAGATAGCTGTTAAAAGCACTAGAGCTTGAAAGTGTTAATCAGCTTGTTTCTCAGGAGAGGCTGCATTTGGGAGGAGAGCAGGGTTAAACCATGCAAGCGTCTGCCAAGAACTCCTCGGAGCTCTGGGCTGACGGCGGACGTGCCCGTATGGATCTCTTATGTGTCTCTTCTCAGACGTTGAATGCGTTTTAAATACGATGCTGTTGTTGCTAAATGCACCTGTATTAAACGCACAAAAATGAAGTGTACCTAATTAAAACATTTGTAGGTCTGGTTTAGTAACCGTCGAGCTCGATGGAGGAAACAGGCAGGAGCCAATCAACTGATGGCTTTCAACCACCTGATCCCCGGAGGATTTCCACCCAGTGCCATGCCGACGCTGCCGACCTACCAGCTCTCTGAGCCGTCCTATCAGCCCACCTCCATACCGCAAGGTACAGTAGCAAACAGGTACTGGGTTAAAATGGTGTTCCTGGGGGTTCGCTGTGTTGATCCGTTCTGGGAACGTTTTGCGTTCAAGCGTAGCCAAGGGGGTGTTGGCTAAATTAGGATCTGGAGCAGTGAGGACCTTAAACTAGGTCTGCAAGCACTGAGGTTTGTTTTGCTGAACTAAAGGGCTGGTGAGGTGTGTAGGGGGCTAGTGAGTGAGCGAGCAGCCTCGCGCGCTGCAGAGGCGCAGCGCAGCTTGGAGGGCGCCCGCGCCGGGCTCCTTTGCTGAGGGCACCCAGCGCGGCACAAGGCACCGCCGTCCCGTTTGGCCTTCCCTGGTGCTTTTCCTGGAGACTTCCCTAAGTACTCTGATGGTGGGAAAAACAGCTGTTCAGACCGTCTGGTGTCACATCAGATAGCAGCAAGTCTCAGGATGGTAAAAGTCTGTCTTAGCTTCACCAGAAGCTCTGTGAACTTTGGTTTGGGGGGAAAATGGAGATTTCGGCCTCAGCTACGCTAAATTTTTCTGTTAAAGAAATAACCCTTACAGGTGAGACTTTATAAAAGCCAGTTGCCATGCTCTCCCTGCCCCCTCCTTGGGATTTACCACTGGCGGATGTTGTTGCCAGGCCATGCTCTACTTGAGGGAATTTTGCAAAGCCCAAGGCTTTTCCCGTTCATTACTGCTCTCCCTATAAGCCGTGGCAGAACTTCTGTGCTGTGACCTGGAGGGGAAAGACCGTTTCCAGCCCACTAAGCAAATAAAGCTGCCCCCCCCTCCCTTTTTTTTTTTTGTTTTATTGATTCTAAGCAGTATATGCCCACTAAGTATTGCTTGAAAACTGCATGTGTCTGTTTTGACTTTTACAGTGTATTTTATAACAGCGACTTGGTAGAACTGTTACGTCGTCTAACTTGCCCAGTTAAATATCTAGTAGTATTAAAAGACTTACCTTTCTGTTTAACCAGGACTTAGATGCGGGTCCTGATGGAATTATATCAGGTCGAGCCTCACATAATGAACTTATTATGCCAGAAAAATGGAGGGAAATGTATCAACGTGTTTCTTTTGCTCCTAGCCGTGTCTGATCCGAGCGGTACAGTCCATAGACCTCAGCCGCTTCCTCCGAGCAGCGTGCACCAAAGCAGCCTCCCCTCGAACCCGGAGAGCAGCTCTGCCTACTGCCTGCCCAGCAGCAGGCACGGGTTTTCCAGCTATACAGACAGCTTTGTGCCTCCGTCCGGGCCCTCGAATCCCATGAACCCTGCCATTGGCAATGGCCTTTCACCTCAGGTCAGTCCTGTGTTTTCAGACAGAGGATTTGCTGTATACCAGAACCAAAGAGTCTATTCCCTCAGGCCACAGTATAATGAATTGCCAAATTTAAACCATAATGTATTCTTTATACAAGCCACATGATTTCAGTTTGCTGGTTTCCTTCTCTTTTTTTATTTTTTATTTTTTTATTTTTTTCTTCCTACTGGCTGAATCAAGAGTCATAGTTTTTATTTAATTTCAAGTGATTTATAATGTAATCATGCAGGCTTCGTGTTTACATTCAGTTGTCAGGCATTTGTAATGCACTGCTGTTTTCCTGAAGATCCGTAGCTAGGTATGAAAAGTTCAGGGACTCTGATCTTGTAGCTTTTCTGAAGCTAAAATATCTCTTGAAGATAACCTCATAAAAGTCTTCTAGATGATCCAGGAAAATTGCGGGCAAGTTCTGCCAGGAGAGTTCCCAGGGCTGAACGGTGCACCTTGAGAGGAGCTATAATTGAGTTAGAAATACATAAATCGGGAGTATTACTGTTGTTTGGCAATGTATAAATGCATGCACGCCATAATTGTTTTTCTAATCTGCATGAGCTCTTTTTAGGAGATCATGTTAATAAATTGCCTTGATAATTGAGTGTCAGGAGGTTGGTTAAATTTTTCTACATGTGGCATTTGTCAGAAGTTGACATTATTAGTCAAAGCTTAAATAGATGGTAGGTGGTTGTTAGTGTGGGCTTTGCCCAGGTGCTGGGAGAGAGATGTCCACTAAATTCTGGAGAGTCACAAAGCGGATGCAATCTATAATTACAATCAGGAATCTCTTCAGGGCTGAGAGTGAGAGTTTTAACAGCTTTATCTTCTTTCTACCCTTTTTTCCTCTCAGTGGTTAGAAAAACAGAGAGAAGCTCAGAATGACACAAATGAAAAGTGAAAAGACAATTATACTCAATTACACACTAATCACTGACTATCACCACTGCCGAAGCAGGGAGAGGGCATTCTAATAGGCAGAAAATGAGATTTTAATGGCACAAAGGGTGGCCAAAATAACGACTCATATATCTTTGCCTCCTTCGTTTTCTTCAACTTGTGGTTTGCATCTCGAGAGTACAGTTCCTGGTTCCTGTGCAACGGTGATAACTCTGTGCAGCTGAAAAGTTCAAAGGCACTGCAGTTGAAAAGAATGAATAACAAAGGCAATGAAATAAACATTTTTGCCCAAAGGCAAAAGTTCATAAACCCTTTTTTGTAACAGTAAATGTAATTAAGTTTCACAGATTCCTATAGCATAGAGTGGGGTACAAAACTTTATGGCTTGAAACCTCAGGAAAAAAAAAAAAAACAGAAAAACAAACGGATATACTTCCAACAAGATGTGAATGGATCTTGCTCTGAAGAATTCCGATTTCTAAATGCAATTTCCGACAAAAGCCATGACATTATGTTAGTTGCTGCTTTTTTTCCCCACCTTTAGAAATGACCAGATTCATAGTGTGCAAGACTTCCAAAATTTTGACGTGCATATCTTTCTGGAGTTCAGCGTTGATCCATCAAAAGTAGTTGTTAGTGTCAGTTTAAATGTATGTTGGTTCTGGCTATGGAAAATGTGATCTCTTTTTATTCTTTTTCTTTTTTTTCCTCCTTTCACAAAGCTTTTATTGTCTGTGACACAGAAGTTGAGTGCCACAGTAAAGAAGTCTTGTGATGTCTGAGCAAAGTGGGACAAAAAAGTGAGGCCAGGTTTTCCCCCAGAGTCTTACTGATTTGAGGTTTGATATAATCAAAAGGAGATCCCAGAACAGATTAGACTTCTTTAATCAGTTACTGTGCTTCTTTACACCCGGCGCTGTCCTTGTGCTTGGAAGCTTCTGTTTCTTTTCCTCAGAATTTTGAAACCTTTTCCCACCCCCGTGTTCAGAGCTCCTGGCCTTATCCTGCCCCTTTGCCGGCAGGGTTGGAAGGAAGCTGATCGATCAGCTGTCACCAAATGTACGTGGGAGCTGTTCCTTGTAGCCGTTCAGTTCTGGAACAGCTTTTTGGCATCAGAATGGTTAACTTGATGGACTGATAAAGATCTCTCTGCTGCTCAACAAAACACACAAAAAAACCTAGCCCAAATACTCATCAGAGTTACCAGTGGCTGCTCCAGAACAGTTTTGGGGCCTGAACACTGAATTGGAGACCTTGGTGTAAAACGGCATGCCCAGACTTTGTGTTTATATGAGTGTTTCTATCCTTTTTCGTGGGGAATATATAACCTCAAGTAGGTAAATTCTGTGAAGCAAGTTGTGGGACTCTAGAAAAATAACAGTTGTGCTTTATGCCTGAAACAAGAGCCTAAGACGTTGGTCCTGTATGTGTTAACGTGCCTGTGTGCTGAGATGTTAGCTAATTTTGGGGTGTGCTCCAGAGGATCTTCTTGTCAAACTCCTTCAGGACTCTTTGCTCCCCACAGGCATCTAGGCGCTGACTGAGAGGGCGAGGCAGAGGTAGCCAAAAAGTGCACAGCCGGTTCTGTGCTGAGAGTTTTACTGAAGAAAGAGAAACGGACGTTTTCTTGCTGAGTGGACATGTTGCGATGCTGTGTGTGTGTGCGTGGAATTTCGATGAGGGGGAAAGAGGGTCTTTTACTGGCTGGTGGGCCACAATAAATCTGGGTGTGTGAGCAATTAACATAACGTTTCCACCCATCAGTGTCCCTCTCCCAGGAAAGCGCTCTGGATATACTGTTTATAAAGCTGAAATTGTAGTGAATTAATCGGGGGGTGGGGGGAAGAGTCTGACACCTGAATAATCTCTTCCAATAAACAAAACTCGGAGCATACAAAACCGTATCTAATATGAAGATTCACAGCATCATGTTCTCACTAGACTTAAATCTCCGTTTCCCCTTTTGAGTTCAATTTACCCTAAATGAGGGTCTGATGCACAGACCCCTGGGGTTACTTTATTCCCCATGCAGGATGTTTTCTTTCTAACTCTGTTCTTGGGTATGATGGGCAACTACCTTGTTTAAGGCAAGCGCTGGCTAAAGGGCAGAGGACAAGGGGAAACGGCTAATACTATATCTTTTTTTTTATCGTGTTAGCCACAAATTCAGAGAGGATTATATGTCCTGGTCTGTTTCGGGAAGCCCAGTGCTCTATAATGTACCTGTCCTGTGGGGCTGGTAGTTTATTGGGAAATAACGTATTGGTGCTCTTGCTGAAGTGCCACCTTGTTAACATTCAGCGCTTCCTAACATCAAGGCAAGATCTGCAGACCTCGAGATGACTGATGATGCTCTGTGTTTGTCTGGTTTAGTCGTTATTAGCAGCTTTGGTGAGAGAACCTCTCTCTCACGGACCTACAAAGGCTTGACTTTTGCAGGAATTAGACAGTGATTAATGTCTCGGGGAACTGATATCCAGGACAGTCCTTGTTTGTATTTTATGAAGAAGCAACCAAACTGCAGGCACTCTGTCTCAGCCAGAGCTCTTTAAACATAATGTCAGAACTGAGATTATTAGTGTGTAATATATGTAAATTGCATATTTTTGTGTTTTCTATGCCTATTATGCAGCTTCTTGGCTTTCATGCATACATTTATGGGAATATCGTATTTCCTTTTCAAGTTAAATTTCACTTGCTCAGTGCATTTTCTTTTAACAGCCATTTATTAACTCAGACTCGTTCGGGAAGAGCATCTATGTGTTCGCGTGCGCAGACGGGACGTGAGTGCTTCTGAATTGGCACGTTGCGTTCTGATCGCAGCATGAGCAGTCACCCCCAGTTCCTTGGATGTAAAGCAGTAGAGCGACTGTCAAAACATTTGTCTTGCAACCGCAGGTGTATGGTCTTACTAGAGCGCTGTTTGTTTTTACGACAGGAGTTCAATATTTTGAACTGCTTCATTTAAGATAAGGAGAAGTCTTTTCCGGTGTACATGGGCATCCGTTGACCTTGTCATGTGCTTTCCATTAATGGCGAAGTAGCATGGTTTGCTTCCTCGGTGTGGTTCAGGCAGGCTGCTGGCTTTGGAGAGCGCTGTTTCAGCCTGCTCGTGGGTTCAGGCTTGGCAGCAAAACTCTGCTTGCACTGCTGCTCACGAGGCCACTTGCCTCCTGTCCTTACCCTGGAGGACGCTAGCCTTAAAGAGTAATTAATAAGTTTTTATTGAAGTTCAGTGTCTCTGAAAGAAGAACAAACGTATGTAATCTGTCTCCTGTTGAATATCATTTTTTTTCCCTCCCCTACAGAAAGTTTCTGAGCTGTACTTTCTCCTTTTCCTTGTCTTCCTCCATAACTAGTAGCTTTAAAGGCTGCGTTTTCAAAATGGGAAGTGGATTGAAAGTTGAGTGGTTGCACAGAGGATCATAACAACCTTTAACATACTTGGCCATTCTCATGCAATTACCTGGAGCTCAGGAATAATCTTATTCAGAAATAAAATTCCAAACTCTTCTGTGAACAGTAGTAAAAACGTAAGCTGTGTCAAGGTTTCTTTCTTCTACTGTCAAAACATTTCACTGCTGGAGTTCAAGAATTGTCCTGTAACTCTCTTTGGTGAGATAGATCTTAAAGGATTGGCTTCTCTTAGGTCTTTGAGAGCACTTGGTTTTCATTAACCTGAAGTATGGTTCTCTGACAGTTGTCGAATCAGTTGAGAGAGAGAGAGGTTCATGCTGTCTTGTTAACTCTGTTTTTAAGGGAAACATAGGAATCGATAGGTAAAAGCTTGCATTTCCCCATTAATGGAGACAGGAGGAAAACAAAACTATTAATTATTTTTTTTTCCCTTTATGTTCTAGTTACTGTCCAATTGATTGCTCGCAGAAAAAAACCATTTGGATCCAAGTCCCACACCAATTAGCTCATGATCCTTGTCATGATGGTCTTGGCTTTGAGAGCTGCTCACTTAAATAACCCAAGAGCATGAGATAAGGGTCATGAATTTCTCTGTGAGGAATGAAGTTAATTCACATGATATAATTTGCCTGAGCACGAGTTCCTTTCTTAAAAAAAAGAAAAAGGGAAAA